CCTAAGCATTCCAGATAGTTTGCTTAAAAACTCGTATCCCAGCTGGCACATTGCATGGCTAGCTTATGCAAGGCTCTGGGTTTGACCTCTAGCACCAAAAGAATAAAGATAAAAGTGTTCTTCGGGGCTACCATAGTGGCTTTACAATAGTAAAATATATGACAAATAAACACAACATTAGAGGGGGCTAGAGAGATAGTTCAGTAGTTCAGAGCACTTCCTGCTCTTAAGGAGGACCTGGGTTCATTTCCCAGCACTGACACGGAAGCTCAGAACCATCTATAACTTCAGTTTCAGGGTATCTGGCACCATCTTCTGGCCTCTGCAGGCACCAAGTACACACATGATACACTTACATGAAATAAATCTTTATAAAAAAAACAATACCAGAAACATTCAGAGCTTTACATTGTCACATAGTTATTTTAACTATTTCTGCCTTTACTTATAATGCTAATATAAAGGTAAAAGAGGAAGTTCATGTAGGCATGATGGTTTAGATGTTACAGTAATCTATTTTCACAAACTCCAAAGTGCTAACCTTTTCTTTTCACAACTTCACTGTATTGTTTCTTTATAAATAACTTTTTAAAAAATGTTTTAATTAAATTTTGCAATTTTCATACAATATAATTTTATAGTGTTTAGATCCCCTCCCCTATCTGCACCTCCCCTTACTGCCCCTGTCCAATTTCATGTATTCTATTATATATGTCTCTCCCCCTTCTAGCAGTGGGTAGTACATTTCCATATGTTTTTTTAAAGCATCCTTATTGGTAGTTATCTTTCCCCCAACCTATCCTCTTATAATTAATTTTTAAAATATTTTATTATTTTTGTGTATGAGTGTATTGCCTGCATGTGTGCAAGTGCACCCATGTCACGTGGTGCCATGGAGGTCAGAAGAAAGTGTTGGATTTCCCTGGAACTGGAGTAACGGACGGTTGTTAGCCACCATGTGGATGTTGGGAATTGAACCCGGGTCCTCTGCAAGAGCAGCCAATACTCTTAACTGCTGAGCCATCTCTCCAGCTGCAAAATTAACTTTTAAATTACATTGTATTTACTTTGCTTCTAAGACCTGAAATGGTTCTTGATCATCAGTGTGTTCAGAACAGAGGACCCATTTATGTAACCTCTCTTCAATTCTTTTTTTTTTTAAAATGTGTTTGAGTGTTTTGCTTGTATGTATCTATGTGCACTATGTGCATCCCTGGTGCCAATAGAGGGCAGAAGAGGGTATTGAGTTTCCTGGAACTGGAGTTACAGATAGTTGAGAGCCACTATGTGAGTGCTGAGAATCGAAGCCAGGTCTTCTGCAAGAGCAGCAAATGCTCTTAACTGTCAAGCCATCTCTCAGTCCCTGATCGTTCTTCATCATTTTGGGCAAATCCACTTGTGCCCATGTGCATTCACATATGGGATGCTTGGTCAAGAGTCTCTGGAGTATGGTCTAGGGCATGGGGAAGAGAACATAGTTATCAGGCAGAATCTATCATTTTTGAGCTTTTCCTTTCTTTTTAAAGTAGAGTTTCACTATGTAGCACAGGCTGGCCTGGAACTCTTGATCTCCGTGTTTTAACTTCCAAAGGGATGGGATTGCAGAATGTGCCACCATGCCCAGCCCCAGAATCTATACCTCTTGAGGAAACTGTTAGCTTCACCTTATTCGCACCATACTTTAATTTCTTCACTTGGGAAAATAGCCATTTATACTTCCACACAGATACCTCCTCTTATACTTGAGGAACCAAAGGCTGGAGGAGTCTTAATCATCACCATCATTTTCATCAGTAATAACAGGTAGTATTTATTGAGTGTTTAATTTATTCTAATTGTTCTACTTTATTAATATATTTAAATATAGTACATCATTTTACCTATAAGAAACCTGAAGAGTAAAGTTTGTCAACTCACACAAGGGAACACAGCTAGTAAGTGCCTGAGTCTGCTTGGTTTTGAGCTCAGGCAATCTGTCAGAGCCCACCGTCATAAATAAGATTGTATTTTTTCAATTCACAAAAGATAGAATGTGTGTGTCTGTGTGTGTATCTGGTCCTCAGCTGAAGCCAAGACGTTGGTGGCCAGTGGTGACACCAAGTGGCCATCTTTATGCATTGCAGTCCTTTCATGGTTTTTATTTTGTAAGTTTTACGAATTTCATACAATACATCTTGATTATACTTAGATCCCCCTTCACCTATATGTGCTTGCCGTAATCCCCCACCGGTTTTCATGCATCCTGTCATGTATGCTAAGGCCTATGGAGCCAAGTTTCTGTCCCCAAATATCCCTCTGTGTGAATCCAGCCACTGGAGCTTGGTCAACCTATCTAGCGTCTAGACCACCCTCACCCTAGTTCTTGCAAACAAACCTATGCTTCAAGAAAAGCCAATATACTCATTCTGCAATGGCATCTTTGAGCTCTTGTTTTCAAGAGACAGTTTGCTTCCAACCAGACTGCCCTTCTTCGTATTCCTTTTTCCTTTATCAGGGAAAAGTTATTTTGGACAAAGTTACCTGCATTTTGGATCTATTTTCTACCTCCCCCCCAAATTATTTCATTAGTTATGACTACCTTTTCTTGCCTCTTCAATTTATATTTCACTGGTGGCTCTCTCTGCTCAATTGACAAATAAGTTCTTGTCCTTCTATCCTGCAATGTTGACAGAAAAAAACTAAAAAACAGAAAAGAAAAACAAACTTCTTGAACTATCACCCCAGATTTATGTTCTTAAAGAAGAGTTCCAATCAAGGATTGCTTTGCTCAAAAATTTTAGTTCTTGGACTCAGAAGTAAAGTGTATATTTAGCATGTATAAGGTAATTCCTAGTGCATGCACACCTGCACACATGCTCACATACATACATCAACCAAAACCTCCTCAATTCTTCCTCCACTTATTTCTGAATTAAGTACAAATCTCATTCCAATATTCACAATCTTTCCTTCAAATTTGGGCTTCAGTTCACCTTCTGATTGTTCTAGTTACTTTCTATTTCTGTAATGAAAACAACACTGACCAAAACTAACTTGGGGAGGGAAGGGTTTATTTGGCTTACAGATCATAGTCCATCTAGCTCACAGTCCATCATTAAGGGAAGCCAAGGAAAGAACTCAGAGCAGGACTGAAACACTGATCATGAAGGTACTCTGCTTACTGATTGAATTTGCGGCCTGCTCCACAAGGAGTTCATGCCTAGGTATTTTCACCCTGGTCAAAAGTCCATGGCTGTTGAGGTCATAAGCCCCATGGTAGAACTTGTTGTTGTTGTTATTATTATTATTGAGATAGGATCTAATTATGTAGCCCTGGCGGTAACTGTCTATGTAGACTAGGCTGGTCTCAAACTCACAGAGGTCTGCCTGCTTCTGCCTCCTAGAACCTCTTGTTTTTATCTTGCCTAAATGGTCATGTCAAATTGCCTTCTGAATATTACTGTTTGTTCTCATAGACCTGGACTGCTCTCAACCTTGATCAGAGAAACTTCTTTTTTTGCAGTCAATACAGAGATGCATAGCTCACCAAAGTCCTGAGAAAAGATTGAATGCTCAGCTCTAAATGGGACATATTTATCAACCCCCACCCCAACAAGGCTCAGGGAATATCTTGGAAAAGGAGGCTGAAAAAATGTAAGAGCTGGACGATGGGGAGGAGTGCTATGAAATGCTGTCTTCTGGAAATGACGAGGCTATTGTGTTCATGAACAAAATCAAGCCAGCCAAAATTTCCACAGTATCAAAAAAAATGAAGAATAGGAGGGGGGTGTTAGGAGAGATACAGGAAGAGTTGGAGGGGCAGATGGGGAGTGTATAAGATTATATTCTATCGCACACATGTGTTCAATTTCAAAAAAAAAATAATTGAAAAATATTGTTCACTGCAGCAGACTCTGAATTTGAGAGCTTGGTTTTCAGATAGATTACTTGTATTGATAGAATTCCAGTCTGTTTCTCCAGTAACTTAATTCACTGCACCCTATTTTTATTTGGCTGATCTTTTTTCACTTTTTAAAAATGAGCACTGGCTACTTCTTCTAATTGTTTGCAAGGATCTGGAGACAGATTTCAGTTGAATCTGAGCCTTCATGTAGATTTGTGGTGTGTGTGTATGTGTTGAGATAGGGGCTCACTGTTTATACCATGCTGGCTCAAACTCACAGAGATTTGCCTGCCTCTGCTTCCCATACCATGCTGGCCTCAAATTTAGAGAGATTTGCCTGCCTCTGCTTCCCAAGTGCTGGGATTAAAGGCGTGCGCCACCATGCCTGGTTGGTTGGTTGTTTTTGAGACAGTCTTTTGTAGCCCAGGCTGGCCTCAAACTCACTATGTAGCCTAGGATGATTTTGAATTTCTGATCCTCGTTTCCACCTTCCAAGTGCTGGGATTACAGGCATGCATCACCAGGCCCCGCAAATGGAACCTTCTCTTGGTAATGATTAAAGGGGAGAAAATAGCGATAACTAACTGCTTAAAGATTTTCCAGTATTGGATCAAGTTGGCTGCTCCAAGTATCACTTTATCTGAACACTAATCCTATTCTTGCCATTGTATGAGATCAGAAAAGTGTAACCTTTCTATGCCTCTGTATTCTTATGAGTAAAAAAGTGGGTGATACAGACCCCATGGGTTCTTTTGAGCATTAAATACAATGAATAAAATAAACGAGTTAGAACAATGCCTTGCATCTAAAGAGGCTCAAAATATGTGGTCTAATGTTATTAGATTTCTGCTACTACGAGGTCAGCAAGATGCTCAGGATAAACAGTTTGTTTCAAAGACAAAACCAAAACTAAGGTAGGCAATGTGGAAACAATGAAACCGAATCGGGCATTGCTTTTTTCAAATGTAACTGACACGCCCATCACTTGTGTTGGATCCGCCCAGTCCTCATTAAATATGGCTGCTAGGCGGGGCCGCCCTACTGCGGTTGCGCACAATGAAACTCCTCCCAGCATCTGCTCTTGGGCTGGTGTCCGGCTCCCGGGCTGGGCCGAGGTGCCTGGTGAGGGCCCTCGGTGGCGCGCACGCGCAGATGCCGGCTGGGCTGAGCTGCTACTCGGAGGCGCCTGTCACATGAGCCGTGCGCCCGCTCTGCTCCCCCTCCTCCTGGCTGGGCTGTGTGAATGAAGCTCTGCTGGCTACGTGGGGCGCTAGCTCAATTCGGAGTGTGGAACGCAAGAGCAGATCCAGCGCGTGCCCACCGCGGGTGGACGTTGGCTGCACCGCCCTTGACCTCGGTGACAGGTAAAGGCAAATGGGGTGTCCCTTCCCCAACAGATCCTTCGCGGGCCGCCGGCTTCAGGCGCACCCTCGGGGGCACCCCCTGGGCTCAGCGACCCGGAGAGAGTGCTCCCCTGCTGCTTGGCCCCCGGAGCTGGGGTTCCCTGGCTGGCCGCCGACCGCCCCCGGAGGAGGTGGACAGGCTGGTTCCAGCCAGCACCGGGCGGCATCTTCCCGAGAGCCCAGCCCTGTTCTGGAGCCGCGATCCCAAGGCTGCAGAGCGAAGTTCTTTGCTGAGTGGCGCCAAGCCCGCCCAGCTTTGAAATTGGGGAGCTTAGCTGCCAGCGTCCCGGCTACAGCACTGGGCTAGAGGGGCGTTCGCTGGGAAAGCGCAGCGAGGCCCGCTTCTTCTCGCTCCAGCCTTGGACCTGCCACACGTTTCTAGTGGGTCTTAGTGATCTAGTCCAGGCTCCCTTGGAAAAAAAGTTGCTGTGCATTTTTCCTTCTGGCACTTAACGCGCGTAGCTGCTTCCTAGACTTTTGTGCCCTGCACTTGAGCGCCAGTAAGAACGTTAGAAGCTTTACCTTGGCTTTGACGTACATTTGCCTTTATGAACATTTCAGAGCAAATCAGTTCCCCAGAGTTCCGAGTTGTAAACGCATGTTGGTGTGATAACGTCAGTGGAAGCTGCACGGAGTAAATAAGGGAAACCCAGGAGTGGGAGCCTTAAAAACTAGTAAGAATCCACTTTACATACACTTCATGCATTTATTCCTTGGGTTGAACTTCAGAGCTGTTAAATGTCGCCTTGTCCCAGGACGCCCCATCAGTACTTCTTAACTGTAAACGAAATAGGAGAAGGGGGGATGGGGAAGCAAACTAAAATAAATTGTTAATTTGTGCCATGTTTCAGATAAGTCATCAGAGCATTCTTTCCTGGTGAATTTATCCTGGGAGTCTCTTAAGTTCCAAGTCCTCTTTTTCTTGGACTTTGCGAGCCTCTCCTTATCCAAAACCTAGTCCTTTCTCTATTGGTGTTTTTGGGACATTAGCCTTTTTGTTCTTTAAAGAAAAAAAGTCATTAAAGAGACACAACATCATTCTCAAGCACTTAGTGTGAGCCTTCAGCATTTGGGCTTCTTCACCTTTTCCACTTCAGAGGTGGAGGTGTTGATTATATAAAAACAGTGGAAATAGAAATCCACTTTGGTCAAAGAAGACGAGGACCTTTTTTTCTGAGAAAATACAGATTAGCTTGTATGCCAAATAAGGAAGACACATTATTAAAAACTTGTTTAAGTGGGCCGAGTGTTTAATATATTAAACTTCCAAATCAAACTAAGCACAGTAGTCACACTTATTTTTTCCTCCCATTCCTAGCTCCTTTCACATACTTGCAAATAGGATTGTCATGAGTCCAAATTTGAAGATTAAAATTTTTTTTTTATTATTACTGGGGTGTGTGTGTGTGTGTGTGTATGTGTATGTGTGTATGCGCACATGCACACGTGCGAACTTGTCCACCTTTAAGCGGGTTCCAGGGATCAAGCTCAGGCCAAGCTTGGGCAGCAAGCTCTTTTTACCCACTGAACCATCTTCCCAGCCCTGAATTTGAAAATTGAACACTGAGAATTAGCTGAATTAATTTGACTATACTTAAACTAGTATTCTAGTTGTACATTTTTCTTTGTCCTTGATTCTCCCATTATAAAAGCAATATAATGTGTTCACTATAGGAAATTTGCAAAGTGATGAATGTATAATAAAGTGGAAAGGAAGCACCTCTTTATTTGTGTGCAAGATCTATTTAAAAAAACTTTGTCCACAAAATTTGCTGTCTTTTCTACTGATTTCTTCGTGGAACATCAGTACTTTAGGGGTACAGGATAGGATTCATTTCCCAGAGCACAGAACTTTAAGATAGGAAACACACAATGGTTATCTCAATTTATCTCAACCAACCACTCATCCTTTGAGATGCCGAATTCCTTTTACTGAAGCGCCAGTGATTCATACAGAATCCTACAGCACCGAGTGACAGTATTAACTGACTTTAGATCTCTCCACTTCTTTTTCTTCTGCTGCTTAGGGGGAAACGTGACACTGCTAATGTATGTGTATCTTTGAAAAGAGAGCTGGGGGGGGCAGGCAGTAATTTTCAAGCATTTGAATTTTTGTTTTCATTTTAGATACTCATTTTTCTGTTTATATTTTCAGGTTTGGGGCTTTAGCTTCTTGCAGAAACTAGGACCACGCAGTTGCATTTCCATCTACATTCTCATCTAAGACTCCCATCAAAAGAAGGGGGGCTCTGGGAAGCTCTGAGCCTGTGACCCCATCGTGGAAGAAGATAGGTTTAAGATGGCCATGTGGCAGGGTAAGAAATTAGCACTTATTTCTCTAACTAGGTTTTCCTCCTGCTGTTGTCCACCCCCACCCAACTCCCCAAGTCCATGGCAAGCAGCCAGCTGTTTCTTTAATTTAACTCTTTCTTTGCAAGCACAAAGTATATTCATTTAAGAGAAGCTGCTGTTAGCTAGAATTTCAAATGATTTTCATCTGTATGGAAAATGTTATGCCTGAAACATTTAAAAGAACTTCCTTCATTTAAGCGTGTGTTCATGGGGGTTATATGTGAGAAAATGATATTTTTTCCTATTTATGTTTTTCATTCCTTTCAAGAAAACTTGTATTATAAAAGCCTCAAAAGTAGAGGAGACATGTTGCCACCTCTGCAGACTTTCTTGGTATTTCAGCAGTTTGAAAAGGCTTATTGAATGTTGTATTTATAATTGGTGCTAGAAGGAAAATGTCCATTTTAATATTAGAAAGATTGCTTTGGCAGCAGTGCCAAGGTGAGTTGGTGCTGCAGACAGTGAAAGCCTGGACTCACGTTCAGAAGGTTTCTTGAATAGGGATTTAGGGGAAAGAGGGTGTGGGTCCGAGAAGAAGCAGGGATAGTGAGGTTACAGAAAACAGAATGAGTTCTAGAACGTTTTGTGACTGGACACAAGAAGAACTGAGCCTGGACTGACAGCTAATTTGGGTGTGGGGGCTAGTGCTCTGAGATGGGAAATATGAGAGGTGGCTGAAGGGGATGGTCAAAGCTAGTGCACTGAATGTTTGACATGCTTGGGTTGAGATTCCCTTGTGCTGTCAGGTCGATGTTTCAGAGGCACTTTTGAAAAAGTATGGAACTGGAGTGTGTGCAGGTGGGGCTCTACTTTTATTCCTGGTGATGCATATGAAGTTTTTGTTTTTCATCTGTATTCATGATTATAAGCTACCCTGGCTGGGCATGGTGGCACATGCCTTTAATCCCAGCACTGGGGAGGCAGAGGCAGGCGGATCTTTGTGGGGTTAAGGCCAGCCTGGTCTACTTAGGGAGTTCCAGGCCAGCTGGGGCTACAGGGAGACCCTGTCTCAAATAGACCAATATATATATATATGCTACCTGAGAGCCAACTGCAACAATGTTTCAGCTGAGGAAGTCCATTTCTTGTGAATCTGTGAGTTTTTATCACATACAAACTTTTTTATTTTTGTTTTTAGTGGGGTTAAGGATTGTGTTCTTCAGGAGAATTTCAGAATCTTCAGAGGTATATGGGAATCTTATGATGATCACAGGGGAGGGCAGGTTTAAGAAATGATTGAAAAATACTACTGAACTTTGTGACCCACGAAAGCTTAAGGGCTACTTAGATGGAATAGAGTGAAATAGCTTGAATACCTATGAATATTCAGCAGGTAGGTTTGTCTGTGGTCTAATGTATCTTTTAAAAATGTTTCATTGTATTATGATTTAAAACATATACATTCAGAAATTTAAGAACAGTTTCAATATGGGGGTGGGATTGTCAGTTTAAAAGTGCTTTTTGAAATAGGATTTGGCATGCTGGCTTTGACTCACATAATGGACTTTTATCAAGAGCAGTTTAGGGCTGGTGAGATAGCTTAGTGGGTAAAGGTGTTTACCACCAATCCTGACAATCTGAATTGTTCTATGCCTGGAACTCCACATGATGGAAGGAGAGAAGGGACTCCTGTAAGTTGTCCTTTGACCTACACACACACACACACACACACACACACACACACACACACAAATAAAGAAATGTATGTAATGAAAACGAGCAGGTTAAATATTCTCACTTAAATCCCGAGACATTTTTTTCATTCAACAAATGGAATACAGATGTGAGTAAAGTGCAGAAGCTTGGAGAGTTCCTCATGACCTGGGAAAGACAGACATATGAATAAACTGTCACATTAAATAAGTCTTACAATAAGAAGAGGTACAAAATGGGATGGAAGCCCAGAGAAAAGCATGATGAACTTTGAGGTTGGAGCTGCTCTAGAAATGGGTAGGAGTTGTCCAGTTAGGCAAATGAGAGAATTACATTGTAGACAGATGGAGCAGCACTGTTTGGAAACTTCCAGTTTGCTTTGTTTGCCTGGTGTGAGATGAAGCAGGGAAGGTAGTTGGAGGCCAGGAAATAAAGAAGCTTATATGTTCTAGGAAGGGTTTTACATGTTATCCCAGAGCCAGAGATTCTAAACAGGGAAGTAACATAAGCAGATTTTATTTTAGAAAATGTATTAATTGTTAATGATTATTTATCTGACAGTAAAAATATTTATGCTTAACAATTATTAATAAAAATGTCATATTTTCTTAATAATATATCTTATAAGCTTAGGCCCTGAAATGTGATTTGCTTAATATGACTTTGATGTTAAACCTCATTTTTTAATCATTTGTGAAGAGAGAAGGGTTCTACATAAGTTAGCACATTGGATCACTGTGGTTTACCTACTATTTTGGGCAACTTTTGAACGGAAAAGCATAACACAATGATAGTTCCAAGGGCAATGTGATATAACAGTTACCCATATAGGTCTGGATTGAATTCTTTGTTTTGTCACTTTGTAGCCAGCCATTTAACCCCCATATGACTCAGTTTCTTCCTTTGTAAAATGAGAATGGAGCCGGGTGTGGTGGCACACGCCTTTAGTCTCAGCACTTGGGAGGCAGGAAGATCTCTGTGAGTTCAAGGCCATCCTGGTCTACATAGTGAGTTCCAGGACAGCTGGGGCTACAGGGAGACCCTGACTCAAAAAAAAAAAGAAGACAAGAGAGAGAGAGAGAGAGAGAGAGAGAGAGAGAGAGAGAGAATAGAATTCGTCTTACATGGCTGTGAAGATGTATTGAATTACTATATGCATAACACCTAAACTTAGTACTCTATAAATGTGTGCCTGTATTATAACCAAGACACTTAGAATATTTTGTATGTAAAGGTACTCATAATTTAGCAATAGCTATTACTGCTACTACCACCTCCATCACTATTGTCTTGCTTTAGTTTGGATGACACCAGAGCTTTGTTCTGCAGAGGCCAATTTCAGATTGTTTGTGGAAGCCCTGGCTTTTGGTTGTCTGTGGGTCTTTAACTAGAGGTTTATATCTGAGGAACTTCTTAGAAAGCGTGTAACGCAGTCCTATAGGCTTAGCAACATGCCAAAGATAGTAGGTGAACCTGTGATAATACTAAAACCCAGGTCTCCTGATGCTCTATTCCAATGGTCTTTACATGTGCTTATGGAAGAGGGAATGTGTGGGGCTGTCCTCAACTCAAGGAAGTGTCAGCATCAGTTTTTGGAGGAACTGGAGAAATTATAAGTGTGAAAAAACACTTATTTCCTTGGTTTCTTGGGTCACTGCTGTCTGGTTCCCCCATGAGACTTATCAAATTCTCATCAGAATTCCTACACCTCTTCAACATAGCCAATATTATTTTGACCTCACCTGATGTAACCTAATACGTATTCTGGATACTTTAAATAGCATGCAGGATGTATTTTGATATTTTTGATAATTGAAGGTCAGCATTTATAACATCAGTTTATTGGTCTAATGGTCAAGAGAACATTAAAGAGAGGACTACCCAGTTTAAGGTTATAAAGAGGCTTGTATTATTTATAGAATTAGCATTTATTGAAGGCAGGTTGTATGATGCTCAGTCTGCTGGGCCCAAAGCTGTGGTCAAGGAAAAGAGCTATAGACTCTGGTCTCCTGGAATTTATCAACTAGGATAAAGGTAACATTTCAGATTAATGAAATGGTTTATTTAACAAATATGCTGAATTAATATGGAAAACGTGACATCAACATAGATTCAGAAGGATTAAAATAGTGTTTATGGCTTCCCTGGGCCTGCAGGAACCACAGCAGGCCTCTCTCCTACCCCCAGGCCTCTCTCCAGAGTAAGTCCATTGTGCCCTCCACGCCTTGACTCCCCCAGCCTCATTCACCCTCCCATCTCCACCGCTGTTCTCTCCTCCAAGTTTGGGCCCTGCCCCATTTCTTGTCTTGGGGCCCCAGACACCTGGGGAACCAGTACTGCTTCCTGATCCTTTTCATCCAGACCAACCATCCAGTGCCTTCTCTGGGCCCCAGGAGCATTGCTTCTGGGTCTGATCCCGCCCTTAACTCCCTCTGCTTCCCTGGGCCTGCACCACCCTCCAGCCTCTTTCTGACACTCTACCTTTCCTCTTCCTGATCCTTTGCATCCAGACCAATCTGGCTCCTCAGTGTAGTCCCCAGGAGGCCTTGGGGCCTCTTCCCGCCCCATCTGCCTTTGCATCTCTCAGTGGCACAGCCACCAGCTGCCCTACACCAGCATCTTTCCTGGGCCAGGCTCCCAGGCCAGTCCAACAGTCCAACCTCCAAATTCCTGAGGCCAAGATCATTCCTGGAGGGATCCAGACCTTAGGAGAAAGCCTGAAAACATCTGACCCTCACCTGAATTGGGCCTCTGTGGGAACTCCTGAAGA